TTTACTCTTCTAGATGAACTTTAGAATTAGCCTAACAAGTTCCAAAAGCAATGCGCTGGGATAGCTTTGAATATGAATTTGATGTGACTGGGTAATCACAGTAAGTTTTTGTGCTAGTTTATTGCTTTACTTAGTAATACTAACAGCTACCTTTCCAGCCCCATCTCCCCTTACTGCCCCCTGCACTTCAGCCACGCTGAACCACCTTCATCACCCACGGAGGCTGCTCTATCACCTGCCTTTCACAGCTAATCCAAAACTCAGCTCAGGTTGTCTCCATGGGAAAGCCTTCCTTGGCAGTCCCCCATCCTCTGTCTGGGTTAATGGGCACGTGCCCCCCCCGTTATCTCTTAGTGGCACCCCAACCCACTTAGGCATGACTATGTATCCCTATACTTAGTAGGCATTCAAGAAATGTTTTGCTTGGTGACTTAATGCAGACATGCTTGAAGAGACCACAGTTCTGGCGGGTTAGCCTCTCCTCCTCTCAAAGGTATGCAAGCTGTGTGTGGGACTGCTGCCTAGGCATTCTGATGGAGTAACCAGAGGAAAGAGACGGTGCATAAGTATCAAGCTAGCGTATCAGCTTGGCAAAAAATGGCAAAAACTGGCAATGCAATTTTTCCATATGAACAAGTTTGACAGATTACTGTAAATTACAAGGTGAATCATAACAAAACTTTGTAACAGCCAGACTGATCTACTGACATATCCTTTTCCAAAGCATGTGGGACATAAAGGAAATGAACGAATACAGAAATGACTGTCAGTCTGGGTCTCTTTGCATATGCTACCACCGCCTTATGTCACAGTGTAGAAAACGTAGCTACGCTTGCTGTGCTAAAACGAGTATGACTTCAGTTTTCAATTCTTTACACATGTTCCCGTTTCTACACCAACACTGTTCACTGGTATCTATAAGTGCTTTCTGTATATACTGAGGTGGACCAGATCGCTTTCCCTTACTCCAGCAAACACTGTGACAATCCCTCCACAGGGAGGAGGAAGGAAGGCAAACGGCCCTGCACTCAGATGGGAGGGAACCAGGATGCTCATTAATTTTAGCAGGTTTTCACTATAACTTCTTAAAGCTATGATAAAGGTGATTCAAAGTCCACTGATTCTTTCCAGGGATATTTAACCTTCTTTAATCTTTGCCAATCACACTATGCCTTTGGTGGGTGAAAAAAGAGTCCACATGCTGATACACTTGGGAAAAATAGAAATTAATGTGCTGGTCTGAAACAATCCCTTTCCACTTTTCTTTTCACGAGAAATAGTCTGCTGCTAAAATCTTAAGGATGAGTCATTTACCTACTCCCGGCTTGGGTAATTCAATCTTAGTTCAGTGACCGAACATTCCTACTTTTTAACTTAACCTTACTGTCAGAGGAATGGAATCATGAGCAAAACTGCATTTTTCAGGTGTGGCTACAGGGGTGGAAACCTGCTGACCCAGAATCAAGCTCAATGACAATCTATGTATTATTAAAAAAAAAAAAAAAAATTATGCGAGCTTTTACTTGAAGCAGTATCTAGAAAAGTTTCAATGTAACAAGAAAATGTGGCTACTCTTCCGGATTTCACCTGGATATGAATTTAGTAAGTAACTTGCACCATGAAAAAGTTCACAGAATGCTTCAACTCTAGGAAGGATAGCTGAAATTTCAAAATGTACACAGGTCAGAGAAAGATGAGAAAGCTTTTTTTTTTTTTGAAGATTTATTTATTTGAGAGAGAGAGCGAGCGAGCACACAAGCAGGGGGAACGGCAGGCAGAGAGGGAGAAGCAGGCTCCCCACTGAGCAGGAGCCACTGAGCAGGGAGCCCGATGCGGGGCCTGATCCCAGAACCCTGGAATCGTGACCTGAGCTAAAGGCAGACGCTTAACCGACTGAGCCACCCAGCACCCCTAGGATGAGAAAGCTTTATTGCACTGTGAGGAATTTATTCATTTAAAAATTTTGCAAGTTTAAGAAACAACTGCTGCTCCATAATAGCATGTCAAAGACGGGCACATATTTGATGCACTTATGGAGCACTTACTGTATGATGCAAGGCCCTCTGCTGAGTACCAAACAAATAATCTCACCCTCAGAGTCCTGTAGAGTAGGAATCCCCCCATGTCACAGGTGAGAACTCTAGAAGGCAGGCCGTGGCTCCACCAGCCTGTCTCCTGACCCCTCAGCCATGCTGCCTCCATGCGCGTTGCTGCCCCCTGCAATCCCCGTGCTGACTCCTGAACAACACCAGACGGAGTTCCCGCAACGTCTCCATGGACAAAAATCAAACAAGCTCTTTGGAACAGTATTTGACTCAGAAATTAAAGGGAAGAGACCTTAGAGATTAGAGGTCCTGAGAGGTTCAGACCTCTGATTTTGGATGAGAATGAAGTCCTAGGTGAGGGGTATGACCAGTGAGTCCTATAGCTGCCAGGACATCATCCCCCCCACCCCTACCCCCAGTGTAGAGCTCATTCCACCCCTCTAGGCTGGTCATACCATAGGAAAGTGAGACTCTTTATAGGATACTTTCAATTTAATCAAGAGCTGAGACTCTTAAAATTAATCAGCAAACAACATAGCCTGCACAGTGTGCCATGAAGGTGAAGATGTATTTGCAGACTGAGCACCTTCCTGCAGCAAGAGGAGCAGAGAGTGGAAGCACGGAAGGGGCTTCGTGGGGCGGGGCCGTGATGACCTGGACAGAAAGGAAGGGGGAGGCCATCAGGTGCATGCACGTACTGAGATAGATGACACCGAGCCTGGCGTATTTGTGACACAGTGAGGAAACAGTGCTGGCAGAATGGAAAGTAAGCCAAACAGAATAGAAGGGAAAACGCTGACTAGACAAGGCTGTCTTGACAGCCAGGCAGAGAAAGCGAGACTTTGTGCAGTAGGAACTAGTAAGGCAGGACAGGTTTCGAGGGGACCTGAATCAGAAAGGTTCATCTGGCTATGATACCAGCAACTGTTGGGAAAGAGATGAAACTGGTATAAAATGAAGACTTTTGTTTGGGAGCCAAAAATCAGTCATTTCTTATTTTATTAATATAATATAGATTGATTCCATTTCCTGAGATGTTTATACAGAAAATGCTGATTAGTCTCCCCCTGTATCTATATCTATCTATCTATTTTTAACTATAATAAACTAGAAATAGTTTTCCGGAGGCTATTTACAGAGACCAATATTTTAATAAAGGATATTATTTCCAACCCCCAAATTTGAAGCAACTCCTTATCTTCTACTTATCTAAGAAAGTCCTGGTAACGTCCTGCACCAACAGCATCTGATGGGAACCCTGATGTGGTCCTGCCAACTAATCATGTAACAGTGGCATAAGGCCTGAAAAAAGCAGGGTTGTTACAGTTCTTTTCCAGTTTTTCAAAACAAGCATCTGAAGTTAAAACACCAAGCTATTTAGGGATGACTACACACTCCTTGTCTGTGTTAAGATTTTCCTGAGGACCATGTTTCAGTGTAGAAAGTAACTGTGTTTGATAATAACTGCTTGTGGTGAAGTAGACGGACCATATTCTTGGTCAATGACTATATTTGATAATTTCTTTTTTTTCCCTTGCTTTTTGCTGACAACCATTGACCTACATACCCTCTACCAGGAATTCAGCAGATCAGAGTCAAGACTATTTAAAGACATACGGCCAAGCTAAAAATATTTGTTTCAAATATACCACAAAGTTGGGAGTTTTGAGAAATACTGCTATTAATACTCTTAAGCCACGGGTGCCTGGGTGGCTCAGTTGTTAAGCATCTGCCTTCGGCTCAGGTTGTGATCCCAGGATCCTGGGATCGAGCCCCACATCGGGCTCCCTGCTCAGCAGAGAGTCTGCTTCTCCCTCTCCCACTCCCCCTGCTTGTGCCCTCTCTCTTGCAGTCTCTCTCTCTGTCAAATAAATACATAAAATCTTTAAAAAAAAAAAACAACTCTTAAGCCATGTTGGAATTATTCTCTATGTTAGAAAGCAGCACATGAAAGAAATATTAATATAACTTGTGGCAGGTTTCTTTTAGATCCCGATCTAATGTAAGAAGCCTCCTTGCTTCTGAGGCCTGAGTCTCACTACCATGACCAAAGACGGTGTCCATGCCAGCACCAATGCTGATTGTGAAATCATTCGAAATGGAACGATTTAAGAAAATAACAGGGAAACGCAGCAGTTGAACACATGTACTTTGCTCTCTTCCAAAAATTTCTCTAACACTTTGGTAAAGCAATTGTTTAGAGTAGGAGTCCATCAGTAAGGTCAAGAAGATAGGAAGAGGGGAGAGAGGAGAGGACAGGAGAGCTGTCAGCAGTCTAGGAGCTGGAAAGTAAGCGAACGAGTGGGGGTGATTTCTCTCAGGAGTCAAGAGAAAGCTGGTGTCCAACTGCAGGCAAGGATGCCAGCAAGAAGCAGGGGGATCAGAACCCCAGACACGCAGGTGCTGAGCACGAGACCTGGCAGGTTTGGCTCAACGTGTCTGAACAAGTGACAGTTAGAAGCACCCACTCCCGATCAAACGCTGAGACCTCCCCGCAGAGAGCGCAGGCACAGTCACAGGCCAGCCTCGGAAATGGGCAGGAAGGTTTTATTAAGAATTCTCACTGCACGATTCTATGGCATCTGCCTTGACAGATGCACATGCACTCTTGTGCAGACCTCTAGTTTCTGGTGAGAAACAAACTTAGCTGAAGGAGCTAATGCCATCAGAAAACCGATGAGAAATAATATATAGAAGGAGGAGGAAACAGAACTGAATTTTAAAATTCAATTGAGGGGTGCCTGCATGGTTCAGTCAGTTAAGCATCTGCTTTCGGCTCAGGTCATGATCTTGGAGTCCTGGGAGGGAGCCCCGCATCGGGCTCCCTGCTTCGCGGGAAGCCTGCTTCTCCCTCTCCCTCTGTCCCCCACACCACTCGTGCGCTCGCTCTCTCTCTCTTAAATAAAATCTTTAAAAAAATAAAATAAAATTCAATTGAAATGAATCTATCCACCATCTAGCTAGCGAGCTCCCTCCATTACATGCATACAGTGAACATGGACCAAGTATGTCTATTTGTGTATCACCGGACGGCAAAGTTGAAAATGGCACAGCGGTTCCGATAAAAGGAATGCCTCCCTCTATGCGTGTTTACCTGGTTGGAGCTTACTGGGATGCTGCTGTGCGCCGGCTCCAGGGAGGGGAGGAGGGCTTACCCCTGCGGGCCCAGCACCCTGGGTCGGGCTCACACTGGCCAGAGCCCCTGCGGGCAATGGCTGGCCTCTCTTTAACAGCTGCTTCTGTTCTTGCTGGCGGAAGCGTGGAGGTACCTCGCGAGGCAGGTAACGGGATGCAGCTGGCTGCTGGCTGCTGGCAGATGCGCGCTTGCCATTGCTGCCGCTGGACAGAGTGCTGGTGCAAGTGCTGGTACTGTTACCGGCAGGCTGGGGCTGGCTGGAACAGGTCCTAGTAGGTTCTGGCACTGTAAGGAACAAAGGACGAGAACCCAAAACTTTAGGAACACTCCTCAAAACCCAGCCCCAACTAAGGAAAACAAAATAAAAACTGAGAAAGAATGACAAGGTAGTGCTTTGGAAACAGAGATGGACTGAAGTCCAGAGGTTCAGGTTTGAGACCCCGTTTTCATGGACACTAACTGCACTTCTGAGCAGCAGGTTTTGGGCCACAGTTTCCTCATCTGTAAAATGAGTGATTCAGGGCGCCTGGGTGGCTCAGTCATTAAGCGTCTGCCTTCGGCTCAGGTCATGATCCCAGGGTCCTGGGATCGAGCCCCGCATCGGGCTCCCTGCTCGGCGGGAAGCCTGCTTCTCCCTCTCCCACTCCCCCTGCTTGTGTTCCTGCTCTCGCTGTCTCTCTCTGTCAAATAAATAAATAAAATCTTTAAAAAAATAAAAAAATAAATAAATAAAATAAAATGAGTGATTCAGTTAGCTTAGAGCAGCAGTTCACAGCAGTTCACACTTTGGCTGACAGCAGACGCACTCAGCAAGTTCCCAGGTGACTGATCTAATGATGCTGGCAGTCCCTGGACCACACTTTGAGAACCACTGCTCTCGGCCAGTGTTTTCTCAAATTAAGGGATCTTAGATGCCCATCAATTTATATCTATTTTTGTTTTAATTCTGATGACAATACACACACGTGCATTCTGTGTTATCCGATTAAAGCACCCATGGTGGTACGTCGCTAGCACTACTCTGTTACAGATTCGCTGGAAAAGCATACAGGTGGGCTAACTTGCAAACGATGCACTTGAATTAAGTGAAAGCCAAAATGCCATCTGAGTGTTGCATAAACAAAAGTTCCACAGCAATTTCAACAGAAAGGAGGAGCAGGGGAGCTGAGTGGTAGCCTTGATAGGGCTGTATTATTACTAATAAGCATGCCAAATGTGAAGGTGATTTGAGTAGTAACCCTGCATTCCTAAGGGAGCACAGACACATGAAATGCAAAGAATTTGAGCCTCAAGTCGTTCCCATCTTGAACTTGAAACATGAACATCCAGGGCATAACATTTACCTTTTTTTAAAAAAAGATTTTATTTATTTATTTGAGAGAGAGCACATGAGCAGGAGGTGGTGGTGTCAGAGGGAGAGAAAGAAGCAGGGAGAGAAAGAAGCAGGGAGAGAAAGCAGCTCAGCAGGGAGCCCGATGCGGGGCTCGATCCCAAGACCCTGAGATCACGACCTGAGCCAAAGGCAGATGCTTAACTGACTGAACCACCCAGGTGCCCCCAAAGGATTGATTTATTTATTTGAGGGGCGGGGGCGGGGTTGAGGGAGAGGGAGAGAGAATCTCAAGCAGACTCCGCACTGAGTGTGGAACGCAATGCAGGGCTTGATCCACGACCCTGAGATCACGACCTGAGCCAAAACCAAGAGTTGACTGCTCAATCAAATGTGCCACCCAGGTGCCCCTACCTTATTGTTTGAAAAAATGGGGTTTTTTTCTACTTAATTTGTAAATGTCTTTATGTAAAATGAGTTTATACCTAGTTCGGTGTATATCTAAAAAGTGTAAGTAACATTATAAAAGTATTTCCAGTCAATCCTGGGGGGAACACAAAATGTTACTGTCGGCCTGCATTTCTCGTCTTCCAGCATGGGCTCTGCACTATCTCACAGTCTGCGTCTGCAAGGCCTCTGCCCACTGTTCTTCTGTCGCCCTGCCCAGCAAACCCTTAATCCTAGATGAAGCCACTGTCCACTCTCTCCACTCCTGACTCAGATCACAGCCATGTAGTCTGGTGTCACTATGAGTTTGTGTCCCTAACCCAGGGCACCCTCAGTGCTTCCCAGCCATTCTACCATTTCCTGGGTCTGCTGGGTTCCACTGCTGTCAATGACTCACTCAAAGACCTTCCACTCTGGAGCCGCTAAGGCCTTCCTTTAGCTCCTCCTCCTCAGAAGATGAACTCTGACTACCTTCCAGAAGGAATAAAAGCCATTAGGCAAAACCTTCAAGTTTCTGCCACTCCAAATACGTGAGCATCATACTGTTCTTTGTCCCATGCCTGTTACTCCATCTGTGGTGAATACTGTATTTTACCAGTTCTAAGACTTACATTTCTTCATATGTTAATAGCATTTACATCAGGATGTGTCCTACCATTGAGGACACGTCAGTCAATTGGCAGTGTTTTTTCTTTCTTGGTATATGAATATGATGGTATATGGTGTATGATATGGTATATGGTATATGATCTCACAATCAACAGCTGACTCACTGGGGTTCCTTCCAACTCTGAATACCTAGGATTTTCTAAGGGAAGAACAAAGGATGTGGCACGCGGCTTTAGTTCTGTGATGGCTATCCCTTCCGAGCGCAGAGTTTCTCTTACCCATGTTCTGCCTCTCTGCTCCTATTTCCCTGGCCTTGCTACAGATGTGGAACATTTTTTATAATTTACTTAGATTTGATGGTTATTCACCTTCAACTCAAAGGCACAGGAAATGAACATCCATTCTATCTTTCCTTAAAAAAAAAACAAAAACCTATAAAACCTATTATAGGTTGATTTTTAAACACAGGGGCTTTCAAATGTATTTTTTTCTGACACTGGCCTTTAGCTAATTAAAGTAGCAGAAGTTCCTAAGTATTTACCCCAGTGAGTTGAAAACGTCTATCTACACAAACCTTCACAGGAGTGTTTAGAACAGTTTTATTCCTAGTTGCCCAAAATGGGAAGCAACTGAGATGTCTTTCTATAGGTGATGGATAAAGGAACTGGAACATCTGTACAATGGAAAATTCACATTTAAAAAAAATGAGCTATCAAGTCCCGACAAGAAATGAAGGAATCTTACATGCCTACTGCTAAGTAAAAGAAGCCAGTCTGAAAAGGCTTCATAGTCTATGCTTCCTACTATGTAACATTGTGGAAAAGGCAAAACTATGGAGACAGTGAAACCATCAGTGGTTGACAAGGGCTTGGGGAGGGCGGAAGAGGTACAGCACAGGGGACATTCAGGGCAGTAAATCGGTTTGATACTTTAATTGTGAATATATGACATTAGCACTTGTCAAAACCCATTAGAACTGCATAATACAAAGTTAACTCAAATGTAAACTGTGGACTTTAGTTAATAATAATGTATCAATATTGGTTCATTGATTGCAACAAATGCACCACACCAAGGCCGAAGTTCATAATGGGAGAAACTGAGGATGTGTTAGGGGTGGGGAGAGGAAGTATTGTGGGAACTCTATACTTTCTGCGCAATCTTTCCGTCAACCAAAAACTGCTCTAAAAAAAAAAAGTCTATTAGGAACTCTCGTGCACTGTTGGCGGGAATGCAAACTGGTGCAGCCACTGTGGAAAAGAGTATGGATGTTCCTCAAAAAATTAAAAATAGGGGCACTTGGGTGGCTCAGTCAGTTAAGCGTCTGACTCTTGATTTCAGGTCATGATCTCAGGGTGGTGAGATGGAGCCCCATGTCGGACTCTGCACGGGCATAGAGTCTGCTTAAGATTCTCTCTCTCCCTCCCCCTTCTCCCTCTCTCTAAAAAAATAAATAAATAAAAATAGAATGACCATATGATCCAGTAATTCCACTACTGGGAATTACCCAAAGAAAATGGAAACACTCACTTGGAAAGATATATGAACCCCTATGTTTACTGCAGCATTATTTACAATAGCCAAGATATGGAAGCAGCCCAAGTGTTCACTGATAAACAGATAAAGAAGATGTGGTACACACACACACAAACACATATGACACTGGAATATTACTCAGCCACAGTAAAGAATTAGATCTTGCCATTTGTGACAACATGGATGGACCTAGAGGGTATAATGCTAAGTGAAAGAAGTCAGTCAGAGAAAGACAAATACCATATGATTTCACTCATATGTGGAATTTAAGAAACAAAACAAACGAGCAAATAAAGAAAATAAAGAGACAAAAAAACAGACTCTAAAATACAGAACACAAACTGGAGGTTCCAGGAGGGGAGAGGGGTGAGGGATGAGTGAAACATGTGAAAGGGATTAGGAGTACACTTAGCATGATGAGCATGGAGTAATCACTAGACTGTATACCTGAAAACTAATAGAACACTAATTATGCTTTGATTAAAAAAACCCAAATCTATTAATTAAAGCAAACTTGCTGTATCTCTCTCAACAGCAACTTTCCATTACAACTCCGCAAATGAAATTGAGAGCAGAGCAGAAGTACATCTGTCTGGGAAACACCACCACTAAATTTATTTAAAAATATGTGATTAGCATGGAGGCACCTGGGTGGCTCAGTCAGTTAAGGCTCCGACTCTTGATTTCGGGTCTGGTCATGATCTTGGGGTCATGGAATCGAGCCCCAAGTTGGTCTCTGCGCTCAGCGCGGAGTCTGTGATTCTCTCTCTCTCTCCCTCTTCTTCTGCCCCTCCCCCAGCTCACACTCTCTCTAAATAAAGTCTTTTTTAAAAAAATAAAAATATGTGATCAGCATGCTACCATTTTGCTTTATTACACATTTTAATGTATCTGGCCCAAAGGTTTTACTCTAGACCCAGCTACTGCCTCTTAGGAAGCTCAGAGTATGAACACAATTGGTTCTTTTACTACAAAATTCAAAAGCAGCAGCCGCAGAAGAAAAGGAGGAAGAGAAGGAGAAGCAAGAGGGACAGAATGAGGAAAGAGAACTATTAGTAAGCTACAGAGCTCTACCTACCCTTGCTGTGGAAAACCCTCCTTCTCTTTTTTTTTTTTAAAGATTTTATTTATTTATTTGAGACAGAGAGAATGAGAGAGAGAGCACATGAGAGGGGGGAGGGTCAGAGGCAGAAGCAGGCTCCCTGCCGAGCAGGGAGCCCGATGCGGGACTCGATCCCGGGACTCCAGGATCATGACCTGAGCCGAAGGCAGTCGCCCAACCAACTGAGCCACCCAGGCGCCCAAACCCTCCTTCTCTTTTGTAGTAACTGACCCTGGAGGCCAGCGCCCACAAGAGTCAAGT